GCCCTTGCCTTTCCCCGCCTTCACCTTCTCCATGATCGATCGATATTCGATGGTAACCTCCTTCAGGACGTCACTCCTTGTCAACCTCTTCTTGTGTCTGAGGGCGTGCTGGTCATAGCGTACTCGTTGGAGAGGGCATCCAAGAAGAGGTGCAAAACGAAGGTTTCGTTAACATCAAGCCCCCGTTTCGAAAGGGACTCTGCGGTGGCGAGCATACTGTTGAGAGCATGTTGCGGATTCTCTGCCATCGGGATCTTCTTGGATATCAGGGATTTCAACTCATCCGCAGGCTGCATGGACGATTCTGGGTCGTACAACCCCTTCAGCTCACGGAGCGCCCCCAGGGGCGACTCAGCTCGCTTCATTATTGTCCTGTCTTTCTCGTCCTTGAGAGCTCCACGGAGGAAATTCCACGCGTGGAAAGCGAGCTCTACTTTGTCGTGCGGGTAAAACCTGGATAGTTAGACTTTGCTCTGCCCACTGTTTACGGGGATCTCCACCCCCCCCTGCTCGAAAAGCTCAAGAAGGATTGCTGTGTTCGCTGCCATAAAAAAATCCTCTAGCCACGAAGAAAAACTCTTGGCGTCTCCGCTGAACGTGGGCGCTGTGTACTTCACGCTTTGGTATCCCACGCTCGCACTACCGAAGACAGCAGCACCACTTCCCATGGCGCTGCTGAAACAAGCTTGATTGTGAGCAGCGGCTACTCTCACCTCTTGGGGGTCTGAACCCCCTACTTCGCCGCTGTGTCGTCCCGAAGGACCAGACTCTCTTCGCAGGTCCGCTGCCTGCGCGCTCCCGTCGTACTGCACGGTCCCAAAATGACCTGCAGTGCTTGTGGCGACGCTCTCCACGGCGCCGCCGCTTTCAGCGGCGCCCTCCGTGGCACCGCCGGACTTCTCCTCTATACGTGCAGCAAGTCCTCCGACCAGCTGCACCAGCTGGCCCATTTGCTGTGTCAGCGAACTGATCTCAGACCGCATGCTGTCGATCTGCTCGCTGCTATTTGTGTCTCCTGCCTGCGAGCCGTCCGGAGTGGTCCCTCCGGTTCTGCGGCCCGCCATCCCTAATGGACTCCCTCGAGGAAATAAACACTAGTGTGTTGGTATGTCCGTACTTGGGAGGAGAAGACACGCTTTAACTCTCTTTGATTAGGCGCCCGCGGGAGCGAGGAAAGGAAGGGAAGAAGTAGCCCTCCCGAATCCGGGGAAGGGGGCCCACACATAGTAGCCTTTTTCAGGCATACGCATGCTCCTGTCTACGTATCCCCCCGTGCTGCTAGCAGATCTACCATGCTCGTATCCAGACACACGAACAGACCTATGTGGCGTGCGCGCCGGTGACCCTTGCGGCGTGGGCGCCTCGTCGTCGGCAGCCAGTAGATATGCGGAAGAAGAACCCATGGACGAATATGAAGAGTGCGTCGACGGAGGAGAAGCGCCGGAGGAAGTGGCAAAGGAGGGAGATCGGGAGCGATGGATGGATGTCGAGTTACAAACTGCCATCGCGAAACAAGCGAGGATGGTCTTGGACACCTCCCCAAGATAGCCGGCAACGGCACGCTGACTCCACCACAGTGGATGAAGGAGCGGCACCTGCCGCCCAAGTATGTAGCGGCAGCGTTTAATCGACGTTTCCCTGACGCCCCGATATGCCGGCCCGCAGACAGCCCGGAGAAGCGCGCCGCTGCGGCGATGAAAGCGGCGAAAGTGACACCAGCGATGAGAACCCGGGTCGAGAAGGGAGAGATCATGGATGTGTTTTTGAAGGAGCCGGCCATGGCCGTTTTCGCGACGACACAAGTTGTGTTCGCTCTCTACGTGCACGAGGTGGTCTTCTTCGTGTTCGTACGTAGGAGTAGATAAGCCAATAGTAACCGTTACGTAGGACGCAGATAGGATATACCTGGAGAGGTATGTGGCGAGACAGTTTGGTGAGAGCGCGGAGCCCCCGTTTTTCTCGTGAGTTCGGGGAACTCTCTCCTTCCGCTCTCTCTCCCTTCGTGCCTTCTCTATCGCGTGCTAATTCAACCAGTTAAACAGCAGCCCCAAGTCCGCACGGCAAGTACTGTTGCCAGAGC